CAAGTTACCCCGATAAGCCAGTAACCCCGCTTCGTAGTACAGGCCACTGGTCAGTTATAAAAAAATAAATAAATCAAAGCACTATTGCTGATTCTGAAGGTTGTTCAAAGCCACCTGATCTTCCAGGGCCTCCTGAAGCAATTACTTCAATCTACAGCCGGGCGTCCGCTAATGTCACCAACAACTCTCCCATCTTACTTTCTCCAAAGTAATTAATTCACTCACTGTCGCACTGATATGTCAGCGGTCAACCTCCTGGAACTGCGGCAACTTTACGACTTGGCAGCTCAGTCAACTAAGCACCACGAGGCAGTAATAAATCCATGCTGCAGGTACTGACCACCAAACCTTCAATCCTGTTTTTTCCCCCTTGAGTTTTTGTAACAAACTGGTGATACTATGCTCAGAACCTTTATGAATTTTACTGGAATCGGTACACAGAGACTCCGAATGACGCACTCATTATACTGGCCGGGTTTTTGCATTAGTCCAGTTCAGAGTAATTTAAGCAGAGTGTCAGCTATCATGCACCGAGCAGGATGTAATGTCCCCGCTAATGTGACTCCGTAATTACCACTCCATGAGGTAAACCGTATTACCGCATATGAGCAGCATATAAATGCAAAGGGTTAATGTGTTTAATTAATGTTATTGTGCTTTATCAATTTAAAATTATGCAATGTGCTCTTGAAAAGTCTTCCCTGGGGAATTCCTGCATAACTAACTGTATTTCCCGGAACATGGTTTTTCACTATTTTGCCATGAAGTTTTCATTGGCTTATACATCAGGGTTTCTTATTAGTCTAAAACAGCCTCTCTGGGAAACTTCTTTTTTGTTTTATATTTTAATATGAAACAGCAGCTAGACAAATGAACAACACTGACATGGTTGCTGACTTCTCCAGTCTCTAGAGAGACTTCAACATTATGCCGGACAGTCGACTAGCCATCATTTAACCCATTATAATGACCTGAAATTCGAACGGACGAAGTTTCAGAACAGCCAACACTTTTCACCTTTTCCCAGGGTCCCCCTACACACCTGTGCTCCCAGTTACGTGACCAGCCCCCTGACTCTGTTTCATAAACACATTTCCCTAATTACAGGGCCGTGCCTTAACTCCCGTGTGGAATATCACAGCGGAGGGGAGGATTCTTCTGGCTAACTTTGAGGCCTGACTCTGTAATTACCGGGACGCTCTGAAAGCACCGTGAAGGACGCTGATTATTGTTTTTTTTGTCTGGGGACATTAAAGAAGAGAGAAGGAAAGGCATATTAGCAGAGAAAAAGCAGGGTTTACCCTCTACTAATCATCATGATACATACAGAGGAAAACTAATACCAGTGTCTTTAAGGTTTGTAGTTTTCTCAGCGTGTAACTGAGAGGTAAAACGCATCCCTCTTATCCAGACCAGGCCGGCTGCAGCGCTGGGTGTTTGCTGCTGAACGAGGGATGAAAGCATTGTGGGTTTTTGCCCTGATCCATATCCATATGTCCCTGTCTGCCCCCCTCCCCCAGGTGAAAGAGAAAGAGGAGTGGAGGCTGAACTTACTGCCAAGATGACCTGCAGGGCGCTTTGGGACACCTCCACGTACTGATATTCCAGCAGGCAACCGGAGATGCTGATGTAACGGTGGTCTTCAGGGGCCCAGGACGGCGGTGGGGTCACGGGGGTGACCCGACACCCCGGGCCGTTCTCCATCCACCAGGAGCGGTGCATGGAGATGTTAAAGGTCATGATCAAGTCGGTGTCCTGCAGAGGGGTGGAACGTGAGGAGACTGCGGTCAGAGACGAGGCCCTCAGCTGACTCACGCGTGATGTAACAGCCAGACACTCGGAGACTCTGGCAGCGCCGTGGCGACGCCGGCTGGAGTCGCGGTAATTAGGCTCCAGGTATGTTACATCTCTGCACTGGCTATGTTAATGACGTAGGTCAGCGATTTAGTGCTTAGAAATATTCTAATTAAAGTAAAACGCATGGAAGATCAGTGAGACCACAGAAAATATTCCTGTCCTCTTTTTTATACCAGGTAAACAGACAGAAAGGGAAAAAAAACCCTTGAGATATTTAATCGCCGTCTACATGTTAAAAGTGAATTCCATTTGCGATTATTCAAATTCAAAGTTATTTATATAGTGCATTTTCACAACATTACATTGTCTCAAAGCGCTTTACAGCATCCCCACTCAAAGCCCCCGAGAGCAAACCAGAGGCGACAGTGGCAAGGAAAATCTCCCTGGAAGGAAGAAACCTTGGGAGGAACCAGACTCAAAGGGGGAGCCCATCCTCCAGGGGCCGGCCAGTCCAAGTCCAAAATAACAAAGTCCCAGTTGATATTTTTTATCAATGCACCCATGTCGTTCATTTTAATACAATTATCGATTGCTGACGTAATAAATCCATCGCAAAGCAACTAGTTTTGCAGCATCATGTTTTGCTATTGATCCCGTTAAAGGCTCCACATCAAGACTCAGTCGCTCTCCCTGCTCCTTTGACGGCGTCCTGTGTGGCCACACAGAGGTGCGCTAACTGCTAACCGCTAAGCTGCACATGCAGGCTTCACGTGCCATTAGCTGCGGGTTCGAGTCCCATAAGAAATCTCATTTTGGGGGGGGCGGGGGGGGGTTCCTGTGCGGCCACACAGAGGTGCGCTAACTGCTAACCGCTAAGCTGCGCATTCAGACTTCACGTACCATTAGCTGCGGGTTCGAGTCCCATAAGAAATCTCATT